TGTCTAATTGTCAGCCCCATGTTCAGATCTACCATTGAGAAGATTATGTATAATTGTCAGCCCCATGTTCAGATCTACCATTCAGAAGAATATGTCTGATTGTCAGCCCCATGTTCAGATCTACCATTGAGAATAATATGTCTGATTGTCAGCCCCATGTTCAGATCTACCATTGAGAAGAATATGTCTGATTGTCAGCCCCATGTTCAGATCTACCATTGAGAAGATTATGTCTGATTGTCAGCCTCATGTTCAGATCTACCATTCAGAAGAATATGTCTGATTGTCAGCCCCATGTTCAGATCTACCATTGAGAAGAATATGTCTGATTGTCAGCCCCATGGTCAGATCTATCGTTGAGAAGAATGCATATGATTGTCAGCCCCATGAACAGATCTACCATTGATAAAAATACATCTTATTGTCAGCCCCATGGTCAGATCTATCGTTGAGAATAATATATCTGATTGTCAGCCCAATGGTCAGATCTACCATTGAGAAGATTATGTCTGCTTGTCAGTCCCATGAACAGATCTATCATTGACAAGAATACATATGATTGTCAGTTCCATGAACAGATCTATCATTGAAAAGAATACATCTGATTGTGCCCCATGGTCAGATCAATCGTTGAGAAGAATATGTCTGATTGTCAGCCCCATGTTCAGATCTACCATTGAGAATAATATGTCTGATATTCAGCCCCATGTTCAGATCCACCATTGAGAAGAATATGTCTGATTGTCAGCTCCATGTTCAGATCTACCATTGAGAAGATTATGTCTGATTGTCAGCCCCATGTTCAGATCTACCATTCAGAAGAATATGTCTGATTGTCAGCCCCATGTTCAGATCTACCATTTAGAATAATATGTCTGATTGTCAGCCCCATGTTCAGATCTACCATTGAGAATAATATGTCTGATTGTCAGCCCCATGTTCAGATCTACCATTCAGAAGAATATGTCTGATTGTCAGCCCCATGTTCAGATCTACCATTGATAAGAATACATCTTATTGTCAGCCCTATGGTCAGATCTACCATTGAGAAGATTATGTCTGATTGTTAGCCCCAAAGTCTATGTAATCAGTTCTTTTTTTCGTTGTTTGTTATTTCGGTGAGGTTTTCAGATAATTCTTTCAGCCTTTAGCAAATATTTGAATAGATATATTACCCACAATGCATATTTTATCGTAATCGGTCTTGACACCATGACAGTGGCGGCGGCAGGGGGCGGGGTTGGTAAGCAGATGATCTCGTCCCATGCACAATTTCGTGCCGCTGCCTCTGTGACAAATCTAAAGAAGAGAAACGAACAAACAAACAAACAAGGCAAGAATAAGAGCCAATCTAGTGTTCTGCTTCAACCAAAAGACACATAATTCCTGTGATTGCTACAACCGTTAAAATAAACACTAAAATAAACGTCAAACACCAACTTTCACGCTCAAACTTCTTGTCAATAATTCCTGCCATGATTTGGGTATTCTTAGCAAAAGAACAAGAATTTCCAAATATTTTTGTTTCAATATTCAAAACATGCTGAGCTAACTTGTAATTTGTCTCTTTGCACGGAGTGAGCTGTGATGCACGCAAACATATCAATGTTTGATCGTTTGACATGTGAGCTATATAAATTGCCTATGGAATGCAGGGCATTCAAAAGATTGAATATTCACAGTGTAGCGTCTTATTTGTATCAGGGCCTTGGCGTGTATAGTTTTGACCTATAAGTAATTATCCCATCGCAATATTGTTACAGAACCATGTGTATGGGACCTGATGAGAATAATTAATTTCGGTTGGCGCCAGGTTACTGTTCACTGACCATCGGTAGAACTCGGGTGGCGCCGGGTTACATTTCACTGACTATCGGTGGAATTCGGGTGGCGCCAGGTTACTGTTCACTGACCATCGGTGGAATTCGGGTGGCGCCGGGTTACTGTTCACTGACCATCGGTGGAATTCGGGTGGCGCCGGGTTACTGTTCACTGACCATCGTTGGAATTCGGGTGGCGCCAGGTTACTGTTCTATGACCATCGGTGGAATTCGGGTGGCACCGGGTTACTGTTCACTGACCATCGGTGGAATTCGGGTGGCGCCGGGTTACTGTTCACTGACCATCGGTAGAATTTGGGTAGCGCCAGGTTACTGTTCACTGACCATCGGTGGAATTCGGGTGGCGCCAGGTTACTGTTCACTGACCATCGGTGGAATTCGGGTGGCGCCCGGTTACTGTTCACTGACCATCTGTAGAATTCGGGTAGCGCCGGGTTACTGTTCACTGACCATCGGTGGAATTCAGGTAGCGCCGGGTTACTGTTCACTGACCATCGGTGGAATTCCGGTAGCGCCGGGTTACTGTTCACTGGCCATCGGTAGAATTCGGGTGGCGCCGGTTTACTGTTCACTGACCATCGGTAGAATTCGGGTAGCGCCGGGTTACTGTTCGCTGACCATCGGTAGAATTCGGGTAGCGCCGGGTTAATGTTCACTGACCATCGGTAGAATTCAGGTAGAGCCGGGTTACTGTTCGCTGACCAACGGTAGAATTCGGGTAGCGCCGGGTTACTGTTCGGGGATCATGTTATTCACATTATTACTCAAATACAATGCATAGAACATAAAGACTATTATACCTTATATGAGCTCATGTTTGTGTGAAATTTAAGTCAGTGGATTTCCTCATAATATTCCTGTATATATTTGTGTCTGTAGTGACTAAAACAAGAAATGAATATTCATCTTCAACATCATTTGAATCACAAAGTATGTACATTTCTTTCAATTTCATGTCGTCTATAACTTTCAATGCGGAGGTGGTGCGATGAGTAGCGAAAACGGG